GTTTTTGGGCTATCTTACCCCCTTTCTGTCATCTCATGATAGGCTGGGGTTTTCCACCACTGGACTTTTTGTGTACTTTCCAGAGTRAAGTAATTTTGCTGATTCTTGTAATAGGACTCTCAGGGATTTTCCGTGGTGAGGTAAACCAACTTGTTTCTACCACAGGGCCTCTGGGACTTTCCAGACCAAAAAAAAAAAAAAAAACCCACTTCTCCTTTTTCTATTATTGTTCTTCTGTTTTGCAGAAGTACAGTTTGTCCTTTTTACCGTCCAAATGTAGCACACACACACACACCCTAACTTCATTTTAAGACATACTACAGTACTTTCTTAAATCACCATCTTACGTTAAAACACATTAATTATCACAGTACATTAGTTAAATCACACTTTGCAATAAGCATATAATTATCACACTTGTTATTTATTTGCCAGCATTAAAATAAATCAAAATTAATACTTACTACTCCTTCTTACTCCTTCATTTTCTTCTTCCTGCGTTTCTCTTCTCTCAGACCCATTATTCCTGCATCCCGTTCTCTCTTACGGCCTCTCTTTCTGTCATGTCCTCCTCTCTGTTGGGGGTCAAAGGGGGGCTCCGCCGGCCTGTTTCCAAACCTTGGAATGGTTGGCGCAGCCAGGCTTCTTGTCAGACCATGTCTGTCCAGGCATTAAGATATTTGTGACCTGCTTCCAGATAAAAAGGAAACTTTTCAGGTAAAATGTTTTTGACCAAATCCAGTAAATTAAATCAGACTCATATTAAGTACTTTAAGACTTATAAATTTATTTATGTTTTTAAGTGAAATTTCAGTATGATCTGAACATTTTTAAAGCTTCTTGTTGTTTAGTAATGYTTGGTTTTATCAATAACAAGAGCTTTTCATTTTTCTTCTCTAACTTCCTCACAGCTTTTATTCATATTTGGGCTTCGTTACAGACAAATCCTTTCAAACACCTTCCTWACATAATGTGTAGTTTATTTTGGTTCCCACCAGAAACCTTTGACAAGACTTTATTAATTATTGTGTTTGCCAGGTGTGTTTTAATCCACTCCAACTGTTTCTGTAAGATAATGTTTTTGTTTTAGATTTGGACAAAACACTGGATGTATGCC